TTGTGCTTGGGATCCTTTGTAATTGATGCTGAATATAAGAATCAAGTAACCCAGCGAAGAGAGTGGAATTGGGAAAACTGAGTTACCACAAATGTGGAAAGCAATTGTAACATCATTATGAAAACTGTATTTTAAGTTTGGGGTTATTTTCCTATAACTGTATACCACAATTTTTACCTCACTTTACTTTTAAAGAAAAATGCAACTTTTCAAGTGCTTTATTAGTGAAATATGAGAAAGGTGTTCGGACTCTATGACTGGCTTTGGCAAGATGAAAATTCTGAAAAATGTCATCATAAATTCAAAATTCAGAAAAGGGAAAAGGTATTGATTCAGTTGCTTCTATTTAAATATGATAGTGTCAAGCTTTCATTAGTAGGAAAAAGCTCTTAATACAAATACTAAAAAGTTTCAATGGTGGTTTTATTTGGGCGTTTGTATGCTCCTAGCAGATAGTATTTTCACTCCTTGAACCCTGAAGACAGTGTTTGACCACTGGTATTCAGCCTTTCCTTGTGGTCCATTGTTTGATTACATACGTAGCCCTGCATATAAACTTATGCATGAACATTTGGTATTCTGTATTTTAAACACTCCACACTGTAGATATGAAATAATTCAGATTGAAGGTTCTTAGTGGGGTAGGAAATGTAGCAATAGAGTAGCCTTTCAAATGGCTCATTGAGAGAGAAATTACAACAAGGGTTTTTTTCTCGGCTTCAAGAGGGGAATTTTGGGAGCTCTTACCAAAAACACAGAACAGCTGCTTTCAGAATATTGTGGAGATATTTATGAAAAATTATGTTATCTTTAAAGTCCTAATACCATGGACATCCACCGTTGTAGGGTATAACTGCCAAGGTGGTAACAGGTATGTGAAACCAAGGAACATAGTGAATAATTGTTAAAGCTGATGGTAGACAAAACATTTTCATATTCCTTCTACTGTCCCACCTCTGGGTTTGCTTTTTGGGTAGTGGTTAGGTGGGTTTTTTTCCCTTAAGTTGATTGTAATGGATGTGCTCTCACAGGCCAATGACTGATTAGAATTCCTTACTGTAAATCATAATCAATTAATTGAACATTTATTAATACTAATATTACATGCATTTTTAAATGAAGAAACTGATCACCCTATCATTGTTGTTTTCTAGAACAAACCTAAAATTAAAGGAAGAGACGAAGTCTGAAAAGAAGCCAGGTTTTTGGGACAGTTTGGTGATAAAGCAGAATGCCCCATCTAGGAAGCCCGATGAGATTGAGGGATGGGAACCACCGCAGATTACTGCTGCTGACTCTACCAGTGAGGCAGCAACTGCTTTAAGTGACTATACAGCCTGGTCAGGCTGGGAAGATGAAACCAAAGGCTCCACAAAATACACGAACCTGGCCAGCTCAGGAAACAGTTCCAGGTGGAGTATCAAATCCGCTGGAAAGCTGGTTAGTATTAGACGTCAAAGCAAAGGTAACCTTACTGACAACTGGGAAGAACTCGAATGATACTGGTAACGTGAAACACTTTATAGATAAGAAGAGAAAGGTTCTGTGATTTACTCATATGTTTAAACCAAAATCAAATCTGCTCAATATTGCACCTTTATACAGTACTTTGTTTTATTCAGATTGTTACAGATTTTTGCTCACCTGATAGTAAATTTTCTTATTACATTGTTAAATAGCTATGTTTTCCACACTGAAAAAAAAAAAGTAGAGAATCTATTTTTGTGCCTATATTTCACATTCAGACTCTGCAGTATGTTGGTGAGTTGGTTTTACCAAAAAAAAAAAAAATGTAATTCCTTAGTGAATGTATACACTGGTTGTAAATTTGACTGCCTTATGTAGGAACTTCCACTAGCTTGTGGTCCTGTTGTTTTTCTGGTGTTGGAGGGCCACTCAAAATTTTAGTTTTGATGCTGTCCCTTTTTAACTAGGAATACTGATCTGTCGCTTGCAGGGAGAATGCTTACACTTAGTAGACTGTTTTCCAAACCTTCAGCCTCAGCATATGCTTCGGCTCATGCACACAAGATGCTCAACTGTCACAATGTGCTATGCCGTGTATGAAGTGGGAAAATACTGTCCTGATGTAATTCCTTCCGTCACAGGATCTTCACCAAGAGTCAGGTCAAATGGGTCTTCCAGAGGTTTGCTTTTTGTTTATGTTGAACGTTGTTTGACAAAGTGAAGTTTATCGGTTTTTAAGATGCGTATTATGCCAAAAAATAGAAATGATTAAAAATATGGAAGGCGGCAGTGGGTAGAGTATAAGAAGACCTCGGTATTCAGTATCCGTAGTCCTGAATCTAGGGGTAAGTCGCTCCTTATGGAAGGGCATGTGTTTTCATTTTTACAATAGCTGATGTAACTTGTTCTACAGACAACATTTTTTTTGTTTTTGTTTTGTTTTTTTGGGTTTTTTTTTACCGTGTTGTTCCTTCCCCCGCTGCCACTTAAGCAGTGATTGCATTATACTCTGGCATTTTCAGGGTAACTGAGTAACTGAGCCATTGCAAGTATGTGCATGCACACAACTTCTGAAGCATTTTGTTATAAAGCTCCGTCTTATTAGCTACTGATATTTTAATTTTTTTGGTAAAAGAAGGTGAAGTGTTAAACTTGAGATTTGAAATGTATATAAGAATACTAAAAGTGCCTCTTTCTAGCTTATAGTCTCTCATTAGCAGTGTGGCTGATGTCAGATCCAAAGGCAGTTTCTGTTTTGTTTGTGTGACCCACATAAATACTCCTTTAACGTTCATGGGAAAAAGTAAAATCAAACCAAAAGTGTGCGTGAGAAAGGAACAGTAGGCCTTTTCTCTCCGGATTGTTAAACTGGTATGACAGAACAGAAAGCTCGTTGGCTGCTTAGCGCTGTGGCCAGTGGGAAGATCCAGTTAGCATTCCAGAGCAAATCAGTGTTCTCACAAGAGAGCATAGACCTTCAGGTGATGGATGTCTTGTAAATGTGTCTTTGCAAGAAACTTAGGCTGATGGAAAGGGATGCATGCAATTTTCTCCTCAGCTTGTACCTTGTTTCTGTTACTGCCACGTTACTCCTTTCTTAGCGCTCTCTTTCTCCTCTCTTCCAATTCACGTGTAGTTTTCCGGCTTACAGTTCCTGCATAGCTTTATATTTTTTTTTTACATTCCTGTTGAGATGTGCCTGGAGGGAAACTGTAGCAAAATGGTTTGGTTTTGTTGGGTTTTGTTCCCCGCCCCCCCTGTATTAACAGGATGTTAAAAGACATTGTTTTTAAGTTTATTTAAAAGTACATCAGTGTTTTGTGCTACAAAATGGGGTCTTGTAACTGGAAAATATATTATTAAAATTGGCATTATATATTAAACCCCACACTAGCAGAGGAGAAAGGGTTAGTGTTTATATCGCATTGTTTAATCTGTGAGTAAACTCTGTCTTTGCCTTTGGCAAGTACGTATGCTGAGGTTAATTATAGGAAAGAATTAATGTTCTTGGGTAACGTATGCTGCATTTTATAGTTTATGGGATACCCTCTAAGGCATGAGCTAGTATTTAGTTTGGTTGTTGGTGCTGACCTAAAAGAAGATCTGCTGGCAGCCCTCAATATTTTGCTCTCAAAGGTGGGCTGAGAACTTTTGATTTCCCTCCTGAAGAAACTATTTATACTGTGACCAGTAAAGTTTTTGCCTTGCACATTATACTGTCAAGTGCCTGTTTCTCACCTTGATGATGTGTTCGATGCACAGCTTAACTGCAACGTTTTCCAATTTGTTTTCAAATGTATGATAAAGAATACGCTCACAAAGACGAAGCCTATTGTAAAACAAAACTGTATCCAAGTGGGAAATTGAGATATGTAAACTTACAGTTAACCCCTAGTGATGAAAGTTTTGGTGTGCTTTTTAAGTGACATTTCCTTAAAGAACCATTCTAAGGATAAACGTTATTGAATTTAATATAATTTATTGTTATGCTTTAATAATGTATTTGTCTTTTGAGAACTCACTGGTGTGAGCTTTTCTTCTCTTATGTTTATAAACTTGTCTGGATCTTCAGAATGGGGTCCTCTTTTCTTTTACCTTCCTTAGATGCTTAACTACATTATACATTTATGGGCTTAAGCTATATACAGCTCCATATGTGGAATAAGTGTAGAATATGTCCCTTAATATTTGTTTTGAAATCGCATTTCAGTCTGAGAAATGGTTTAGAAGAAGGTAGCATTGAGATTGTATGATAAGATTGCACAAAATAAAATACAGTTTATATTGCTTTCTCATAGCCAATCTGCATGATTGTTGGCGTGGTTTTAACGGGAATTAAAAGCTTCACGTGGCTGTAACTAGTCACTTAACTCTAAGCAAAGTTCTTTCTGAGTATTTTTATTTATTAGCATCATTTGCAAAAAGAAAAGTAGTATTTTCCATATGAATAAAGATTTAGTTTGAACTGAAATACCTTATTCCTTGAGGGTTTTGATTGTTTTTTTGGTCCCATTTTATTTGCAATGTGAATTTCTTTCCCTCCGCGTGGACGTCGCTTGTGTCAGCGTAGAATACGGCCAAGGAAGGAATAGCTATGTTTGTGCAAACCCAGTGAATCGTGCCATCTCCCAAGCTGCAGTATCCGAGATTTAAAGCATCACCATTGCTTTCCCAGTGGGAAGAATTCATTGGTTTTGACAAACCGCAAATATTTTGTTTTAATGGTATTTATTGGTTTAAACGTGGGTTTTTTAAAAAAATTTATTGGCTGTTATGAAAGCCTGGGCAGAGCAGCATTCTTTCCCTGAAGATTTCACCAGCTACACGTAAACTGGAAGACCTGGAATGCTTTTGCACGGGCTGGCCCCGTAACGAGGTGAGACCTGCGCGTCCCCGGACTGTGACAAAAGTGAGATGCAGCCGCTTTTCCCAGTGGATTGGCTACAGAAATCAGCGTTCTGTCAGCTTCTCGTTCTTCCACCCTAGTCTGCAGGCTTTGTTGGTGCCTAAATAGACTTGGCAGGGAACATTTAGGCAAAACGTTTCTTATCACAGTGTGGAACTAGCTGAAACAGAAAATTTTACTCACACAAGTTACATTCTTGGGGGAAAAAGCTCTGTCGAGATGCCTCTGACTGTACCCAGGCGGGTCAGGCTCACGTGGGGGCAGGTGGAAGGGAGTGGAGGGACCTGCGTTTCCACACCTGGGTAGACAAAGACCCTGCTAAATTCTGAGCACAGCTGTTCCCACAGCCCAGGTGACTTCAGCCTGGCATCTGGCTCAATTTCCAAAACTTCCTGAGATGCTTGTTCATGTCTATGAATGTCAGATGACAAAACTGTAGGTCCTGTCTCTGTACAGTCTGGAAAGAAGATGAATATGTGTGATATTTAGCTGTTTCTTGCCTATCCAAACTGTTCCTACTGATATCCTCCCCACAAGTACCTGCTAGTTGGTTTCTGATGTATCTGGGAAATGAAACCAGCACTATGAAGAAAAGTAATTTCCTAAAAGGCTTAGCCACCGAGGGTGTGTATCATCAGATGTCTGTCTGTCAAAATTTCTTGTATCCTGACTGCTTTGTACCACACGAGAGGGAATCAGACAGACAGGCAAAGAACCCAGTTTAGAAATTGGGAGTGCTGCATTTATTCTAAGTGCAGGCAGCATAGTAGCAGGAAGAAACGCTGCTTCTAGAGTTACAAAGTAAGAAAGAGTATGAAAACAATCAGAAAATAGAGGTATAAATAATAGAAAATCATGTAAAATGTGTAATAGTGAACAAAGTGTAAGGACTTTGGCACTGGCACAGCATCTGATCTGTATTTGGGAAGAAAATTTTCCTATTCTGCGTCTGGTATTTACCAAAAAGATGCAAGAAAGCGACTATATTCCTTTCAAGTCCATAACAATGTGGTAAAAGCTTGGCCGGCACTTAAATTTTTATGCTCTCGAGACCCAAATAACACCACTGAAAGCTTAATAACACGTTTTGAGCTGAGTGTGTGCTGTTGGAAAAGAAAAGGCATTACTCTCTGCAGAGGAAGTCACACAGCCGTATTTTGTGAGACTGGTTTGCCCACTGCTGAAAATAATGGTGATATTTTGCTTTCTGGTTGCTCTAAGCCTGAGAAGCCTACCCAAACGGCTGGATTTAAATCACTTTTTTAGAGAATTAGCGGGTTTAATTACTTGAGGTTGTAGTAAGCCAGCTCAGATTTGATACAGAACCATTCCTTTATGTTCGCAGTGCCTTCTGGCCTTTCTTACCTTGTACCTCTTTCCTTGAAACCCCCAAATGCTGTTGTCTTCAGCATCTTGTTTGTCCAGGGGTCCTGCGATTCTCCATGGGTGCTGCTGATGGAGACGGGGAAAATACTGGGGTGTCCGTGTTTGTGCCAGAGAAAGGAAGGGACGCTTATGTAGCCAGAGTCCAAGTACTGTACGTACTTATTTATTTTTGCTGCCAAAGCTTTCTTACATGCAAGCTAATGAGTATTAATAATTCTGGGCTTTGTTTTATTTTTGTACC